GACTTCCTTAAATCTGGTTTTTTGCTGGGATATTTACACACAAAAATAGCGTTGTATCCCTTCCCTTGAAGGATTCCGCCGCGATTTTTTCCCTCTGAATTATCTGCATTAAGTCACTTGACTCATATTTCCTGGATTATCGCCAACAGTCATAATTCTAGCTACTTGTAAGCGTTAAAGTTTTTAATAGCAAAAACCTTGCTTTTCCAGTGGGAATGCAATACCGTAGTAATTTTCAAAGAATTCAATAGCTTTGATACCAAGTTCAAGGGCATATCTCGTTTGATCAAATGCCTCCTTTCTAGACCATATCCGAAACTGCAAATGCATCGTGCATATTCCCGTATTTCGAACATATTAGCTGCATTTCCATGGCTTTCCAGCTGCGTTTCCACGGCTTTTACGAACAGGCCCTATCACATGATAAACCTGCTGATGAACGTGGCGTTCGTTTCTCTGCTTTCTGTTCTTCCGGATGAAATATTAAATCCATCCCACTGCTACCCCAATCACGCTTTACAGTAACAAAATCTAAAGCTTTGAGAAAAAGTATAAGTGAAAAACAAACTCGAATACCGCCTTTAGTTCTTCCTTCGACAAAAAAAAAGTCAGTGACAGCAATTGCTAGCAAATATGATGACATCGGCAAGGTTTCCTCGAATGTTGTGCAGTACCAGTCTGGATTATCACTACAATTTAAAACGTTAGAGGCTTTCATGCTTTTTTGCCTCCCAACCGAAATTCCAACTTCCTAGCATTTCCGCCTCTTAGTATTTCATTACGTAAAACTCTGCGTTGCAATCACCAACAGTATCATTATCGCCGTCGTGTTCATCAGTATTATCAGACTACCCAAATCGTTATTATTGGAAAATATTAACTTAATCCTGTGGTTCCCTATCAAGTTCAGATTATATTTCACAAATTTTCCAACAGTACAGCTAGTTTTAGGCTCCTTCATTTTGACAGATCAAAAAATACCTATATTTTGTGGTTTTCAGCTCAATACCGTTGCTGAGTGCTGATGTACCTTGTGGATGTATCACTGTTACATTCCATATTGCTTTAAATCCGGGCTCGTCAAAACATGGCACCATTTTTCGGGCATCTGTCGGCTGCATTTGTGTTATTGCCATGTACCTCAAACAAATCAAATAAAGTAAATTGAGGAATGATTCAGGGAAAGGGAAAACAGGCTTCTTTTCCCAGAGGATCCCTTAGCAGTGCTAGAACATTTATGTGTTAGTAAATAGTGTTTGTTCTTTAGCCTGAGAAGCCGAGGGCGTCAGATGTCGGCTAACATATATGTTTAGTTTTGATATTTTCATATACTGTAGCGAAAAGCGCTTTTT